CAAATGCAAGCTAAATAAAATAGTTGTATAAAAGCTTGAGATTAAAATGTTTAAAATAACTTGAGACTCATTCAAGTGTGTACAAACTTTTGAAAATAAGAAAAATATACCACAACATTCTAAAATCAGTGGTTCTCAACCTTTTTCACAAGAAGGCCACCATATTCAATATTCAAAGGGCCACTGTCCATATACAGCAGGATATTTCTGCTGTAATTATGACAAAGCTATTTGTTTGTATTTTTTGTATTAATATATTAGATTAATAAACTTTGTTAATTAATTTGATATATTAAATAAATTAACCACGACTCATTTTGTGATTCCATAACTGTATGTTCTTAAATACACGCTATAGTTATTGAGGGAAAATAAAAATAAATATGATTTAAGTTTACATTGTGATTTTATGTGTATATTTTAATTTAGATTATGTTAATTATAATAACGTAAATGTTTCGTGTTACTAAATCACGGTTTTTTTTCAAAAAAACAAATCAAAACACTAAAATACTCTGCTAAAGAGAGGGTTTGATCCTGTACCATGGTAAGAGTGGCATATGGCATTGAGAAATTAAAGGCAAGCGACGCTGTGCATACAGATGGCCACTAGATAGCAGGATGTATTCAAGAAGCAGCGTGTATATGAAATAATGGATTTTTTGTCAAGTCAAGATTTATTAAATTCTCTTTTATTTGAACCGAAGGAACATTAACACCTCACAAACTTTGTAGGGCAGCAGGCAGATCAATCAAACCACTTTGCTTTTAACACTCAAATCAATCACTCGTAAATTTGAGCTGGGAATAAGGGGCTTTTGATTTTTACCTGTAGACTACTCGCAGCTACAATATGAGAAAGAGTTAAATGTAAGAGCTGATATCAGTTAAATGAGTGAGTGTGAATTCACTTTACTCACATGAAACTTTCATGTAGATCTGCAGTTGCAGTGATCCGATTAAAAGAGCTGCATGTGGTCGGTCAATCACAGGAGGTCTTCTTTCCTTTTAGCAGCATGTGTTGACACTTAATGCTTCCCTCAGCCTCGGGTAGCCTAGGTTTATTGAATTTAATTAGTCAGTGGATCTGTGCTCATCTATGCAGTGAAGGACTTCCCAAGCTAGTTCCCACACTAGCAACGTCAAGCTTGCTCCAACAATGACACACAGCAAAATAAACCAAAATCAAAAAGGTTGTTTATTGACGATCCCACGGACCCTGCTGAAAAAAAAAACAGCCTAAGCTGGTTGGGTGGTTTTAGCTGGTAGTCCAGCCTTGTCTTAGCTGGTCAGCAGGCTGGTTTTAGAGGGGTTTGGGCCACTTCTTTAGCTGGTCAGGCTGGGAGACCAGCTGGCCAACCACCTAAAACCATCTTAGCAAGGCTGGGAGACCAGCTACTCCCAGCTTAAACCAGCTAAGTCCAACCAACCAGCTTAGGCTGTTTTTAAGCGTTTTTTTTCCAGCAGGGGTCCCAAATGGTCACTTTTGTATTTGCTCCTCGATATACATCCACCTGTACATACAATTTATTCTTTTTTGTGGTTTATATTTATGCATGTGTATTTTATTCACATCTCATTTTTATTATCTGTGTGTTGTTGTCTCCGTGTACTGGAAGCTTGTGACACTATAACAAATTCCTTGTATGTGCAAACATACTTGGCAATAAAGCTCTTTATGATTCTGATTCTGATAACTTCAAACTTAAGCCACTTACTCAGCACACCATGAAATGGCCTAATCTTACGAGGAAAACATTTCTGAAATGAAGAAAAAGACACTTTGGTGGACAACTTTTTCTTTTATTTAAAAATATAGCGGTTCTAGCCTTGAAAAGGCTGGCAAGCATGAATATATACATGATGAACATACAAATAGTTGCAAAGATAAGCGAGACAAACAGCACTATTATTACAAAGAGGGAAAACACGAAGATAAACTTAGTTAAATCCACCTCACACACAGCCACACAATTTCACAAATAAACAGACTTCTCTTTTTACTTATGTTTTTATCTTATTATAATTTAAAATTGACCGCTAGCACAAGGATATGCAAATTAAACAGAATGCTGTCTACAGTAAGCAAAGATGGATCGTTTGGACCATATATTACTGTAGACAAAAATGCTTAGCAAGAATACTACTATATATAGTAGATTAAGGCAAAGCCTTATTCATTCACCATGTTAAATGATTCAAAAGTCAGGCTTACTAGGCAGTACATGCTAGATTAGATTTGGCACTTTTCTGCTTAAGGCTGGCGTGACCCCAAGTACAAAGCAGCTGAGATTTCCCAGTAAATCTCATCTTACTGTAGGCTTGATGTCTAAGACTTGTCTTCACAGTGCCTGATCCTTAATTCAGAGACAGCAAGCTTCCAGACTATGCAGTTAATTCACACATGAAGGTCTGCAGTAATAAAGGCCTCATTTTAGTCATGATCATCTGCTATATACTGTACGTAGACATATGTACACAATCAAAAAGTCAAACGGAATCAATGAATTTTAGTGTCTTTGCTCAACAGTGCCATAATTTGCTAATGTCAGAGTTAACACAATTAATACAACTGACATGTTTACTAGAAGACATGATTTAACACAACTGACTTTTTAGTTATACTTGACACATATTGTTTAACCAGTGGTTTAAATGTTTCAATGACAGCGACAACCAAACTGATAAAAAACTCCAGCAATAAACAGCAGTAGTTCCCCTCACACGCCATGAAGAGCAGGAAGGAAGTGGTGAGATATGCAAGATACTGAGCAAACAACTACTATGCAAAACACGTACAGACTGAAAAATTAGATCTGATGGAGGGACACCTGTTGCCAGTCTTCCCAAAAGTGGACTATGATCAGTCTCTGGAGAGGTTCTCAAACATCCACCACCTTCAAATCATCTCCATTCGAGCTCAGACCTGCGTGGTGTGTAATCAGTTGCACAAGGACGTTTCCTGAGCTTCTGAACCACAGTGGCTTTTAAAATGGCAATTTACCGGATATATGACTGAATTATATGTAATCTAGAGATAAATTATTTGCAGGGCTTTGACAATGCAACCCCAAGAACGTGTATGATAAAACAGATCATCTCGTAAGAGCTCTCGCCCAACACGACGTAACTTTTTATGACAATGCCAGAGTGCTGATTTAAACTTTGAAAATATACAGTACCTTTATGCAGAGGGCCACTGAACAAATCATATGATTAACTTTAATACTCTAGTGCTCTAAATAAAAATAACTATTATCTTTAGGCACCAAGTCATCGGCAGGGTTCCCACATCTTTTGACCAATGAATTTACATGACCATTCTAGTTGCTTGTGATTACCAGATAAGGATTTTT